AAAAAAAAAAAAAAAAAAAAAAAAAAAAAAAAAAGAAATAAAATTATATAATATAATATATAACATTTTACATTTCAACATCTACATTTAACTGTACATGTAAATAATATACAGATATAATTTACATAAATGCAATAAAAAATGAGAAAAATTTGTATTTATCTATCCTACTAAACAAAAAAATCATACAAATTGATCTTCAAGAAACTATTTGTGAATCTAAGCAAAAACTTATTTAGGAACATTTATTTACAATTATTAATAAGTCAAAACTTATTTTAGTAAAGTAGTTATTTCACAGTAACTCTTCATTTGTTTTAATTTTAAAAAAAATGAAGATTCAATTATACGATTAACGTTGCACGTTAATTGTTTGATATCGAACAAATTCTAAACAATAGTCTTATGTCTATTGTTACAAAAATCGTGCATTCGTGTTTGAAAATTCGAACAAATTATTGCACTTTTTCTTTCATATTATCTGTAAAATTTGTAATATAAGAAATGTCTGAGAGTTCGACGATATTAAAAAATCCTAGAAAAAATATTTGACAGTATTAAATATATATTCTTTCACGTCATATTCCAAGATAACTGCAAAAGATGAATGCTCCACATATACTGAAAATAATCAGTATAATGACAAACCAGAATGGTAGTGTGTCTGTAACAAAGCAGTTACAAATATTATACTTTTTGCGCGAGATCTTTAATATTGATAAAATAACATAAAACCATATTAAAAAATTATTTATTTACTTACGCCTAAATGGTATACTATGTATGCAAATTTTGTTATCCACAGAAATGCTAACAACTGCAGTTTCAGTGTTACTAGCAATAGTAGGGCCATCTAATTTAGTTGGTAAGAATTCTAGGCCAGTTACAAACATACTATGTGCACCAGGTACATGCAAAGCTCTCCTCAAACTGAATGCAATATATATATCCACACTACCAGAAAACATGGTTCCAACTGCTACAAACTTCCCGTCGTCCGAAACAGCCAAAGCAGATAGAGTTTCTTTATAGGGTATTGCTTTGACAATATTTCCAGAATTCACATCCCACATTTGTAAAAAGCTAGTATTCTTTCCAATTACAGCATTAGAAAGCATAAAAAGTTGAATTTTTGATTTTTCTTCCTCCAATTTTCTAAATCTGCACCTTTTATACATATATTTTAGTCCATTTGGTGGTGACCAAGTAAGGTCTTTGAACTTTGAACCATTGTTTACATTCCACACAAATGCTTTGCCATCCTTTGCTACACTTGCAATTAATGTACTATCTGGACAGAAATCTATATCATCAATTTCTTTTAAATGTGCATCCAGATCATTTAATTTATATAATTGTGGAAATTTCCATAATCTTATATGACCATCTGTGCCACCAGTAGCCATGAATTTTCCATTTGAACTAATTCTAACAATCCTCTGAAGTGGTTCTACCTCACTATAAAA